TGTACAAAGGGAATTTTCCATATTTGAATGTTATGAGCAAGACCATGCATGACAAGTGTCGCATTTTAATTGGGCCATGGTTGTAGGTCCTATTTGGCCCGGCCATTATAGCAAAGATTGGGCCTCTGCAAATGCCATGAGCAACAAGCTCGGGCAAGTATATTTAGATGTAAGTTCAAACATCATCCATTTCAATTTACAACCAATTTTAATTGTGGAAATATCCCGTTTTAGCCCCTATTACCTATTGTATTTCTTTTATAGCCCACCACAAAGTTTTTTTCGACTTTTAACTTTTCATTGATTCTTTTTTATTTCAAAAATAGTCTATCAGCTAAAATTAGAGCCTACACCCTTCTCGACCATCGGCAATTTCACATTTTGATCTTAACTTCCTGCAACCACGAGCGTTTACTTCCATTCAACACCAAAACTTCACTGTCGAGCGACACTTCTTCTCCCCATCTCTGCAGAAACACTTGAAAAGGAGGTGCGGCTCGGATATTCAATTTCTCTGTCTCGCCGATGAACAAAATTTTATTGAATACTTACAGGACAAGCTTAGAGTATCTGCTATAATGATGGCTCTACCATCTGTAATCGCTCCTCCGACAACTACAATTGAGAGGTCTGGCCGTTATTGATGCTTCTCCCGTCATGGAAGAAAGGACGAAGCTATCGGTCAATTGCCTAACAATTCAGTAATTCCAACGATTGCAGCGGTGAGGTTATTGCCGAACAATTTTCTGAAAATCAAACCATATCTTTCCTTTTCATATATTTCGTGTGCTTTTTATCTCCAATTTTCCTAAGACACTTTTAAAGTCGTTCGCAGCTTTTTCGAGATCAGCCTTATGCGATTTCTTATTTAACCAAACTTGAGTGTTTAGATAATTACAAGGTATATAATTAGTCCGTATATCTTAGACTCTAATGTGAATGTGTGAATTGTATTTCACCAGGTATTTGCTTTCATCTCATTTAAGGTAAAGCTATATTAAAAGATTGAAGGTTATTATTATGATTGATTCTAGAAAATTTGCACCAAGTATTATGCAGATTGACGAACTCTCACTTCTTATATAACCTAATAGCTTTTAATAGGAGTAACTATCATCAGAGATGGCATTGGCGGTGGTGATATCCGGCATATGTGGCTGTGCCCTACGCGGTAGTGTATTTACCTGAACGCAGGCTTCCAATAGTAGCTTTGCTTCCGCTTCCCTTCTTTATAAGGTCATCAAAGCTTCAAAGTGGTAAGGAATTACTTGAATTGAATGGGAATAGTTGCATGCAATATACTTGCAGTTCGATTTACCCACATGAGCCACATACTTCATATTCATATTTTTCTTCTATAGTTGCTTTGTGTCATATGGTGAATTGTTGAAACTTCATTCTTTTGTTTTGACAGATTAAATCCTACTGTAGGATGTAAGTTTGAATGAATCAGGGATTCCTATCTTGCTATTATGTTAATGCCATACATTCATATCAAGTAGATAGTTTCTCTATAATGTGCCTTATGTGGAGTTCAGGGTTACGAGGATGGTTTAGAGATTTACTAATTAAGTCTTATTACTTGTTGTAGGGATTAGGTTCTGCCATTATGACATGTTTTTATCTCTTAGCATGATCTTGCTCTTAATATTCAATCATCCACAAGAAATGTGTAGTTGAAACACTGTGATCTATTCACATGATCATTTGGGTGTACAACTTTTGCACCTAGTTTATGACCAAGAATTTCACCTGCTCTGTTTGTCATAACCTCATTAGCATTCATGTTACTTTGTGTACCACTCCCAATCTGTCAAATCACCAAAAGAAAATGATCATTTAGTTTTCCTTCAGCAATTTCTTGGGCAACTTGCATTATTAGCCTTCTCTATGTATGGTTCAAAGATATATAATAATATATGGCATAACGAAATCAATTTCTCGGTCCCTCCTTAAAACTTTATGCTCATTTATGTTGCCACTAAAGTGGAGACATATTTCCGTGTTGGACAGGAATGCATTGGGATGGTTTGCATAGGACAGAAAGAATGTGGAAAAGTCTTGCAGCTTATATGACTGATTTGAAATTGTAATTTGGTCATGAGCGAAGATGTCTATTTTTTATTCAAGGTTGCTTTATTAATTATAGATTTTGAACATGTACCCAACATGTCTCCTAGGTCCTAACTCAAGGTATGTGAGCTTTACTTAAAAGCTTTAATCCTATATTTGGAGAAACAACAAATGCGGAGTTGATAGTGGCCAAGGATAACTGAAAATGATAAGTTTAAAGTGAAATAAAAGATTGAAATATGTATTTGTTGTGATATTTGATATGTTATTTTTTGTTTCTTTTTGTTGCATAGCATGTGTTTCTTATTGTTGCATTGTGTTGCAGATTGTTGCAATGTGTTGATTATTGTTGCATGGTGTTTCTTATTGATGTTTTGTTATTGATTTTTGTTTTTTAATGTTTATTTAAATTTTTATCTTTGCTCCTTCCTTGAAATAAAAATAGCTAAATAGATTTATATACAAACACTACCTGAAATTGTAATTTGGTCATGAGCGAAGATGTCTATTTTTTTATTCAAGGTTGCTTTATTAATTATAGATTTTGAACATGTACCCAACATCTCTCCTAGGTCCTAACTCAAGGTATGGGAGCTTTACTTAAAAGCTTTAATCCTATATTTGGAGAAACAACAAATGTGGAGTTGATAGTGGCCAAGGATAAGTGAAAATGATAAGTTTAAAGTGAAATAAAAGATTGAACTATGTATTTGTTGTGATATTTGATATGTTATTTTTTGTTGCTTTTTGTTACATAGCATGTGTTTCTTATTGTTGCATTGTGTTGCAGATTGTTGCAATGTGTTGATTATTGTTGCATGGTGTTTCTTATTAATGTTTTGTTATTGATTTTTGTTTTTTAATGTTTATTTAAATTTTTATCTTTGCTCCTTCCTTGAAATAAAAATAGCTAAATAGATTTATATACAAACACTACCTAAAATGATAAATTTGGATTTAAATAAACCAACCACATGATACATAATGAAACAATAAAAAATAAAAAAAATCAGAGTTATCAACAAAAAGAAACAATAGTCAACAAAAAGAAACAATGAGCAACGAAAAGAAACAAAAAAACTGAATTACAATATTTATATTTTTAAATTAATTCAATTGTTTTAGTGTTTAAATTTTCATTATGCACACTTCTTTTAGATTTTTTATTTATTTTTCATTCTTTTAAGTTTAATTAAATTTTTACTTTTTAATTTTTAAAATAATTTTGTATCTATATTTTATTTTATGCCATGTAATTTGATTCTTCTTTAGCATTTTTATATTTCTTTTTATGAGTTTTAATAATTTTATAAAAATTTCAATTATTTTTTTATTGTTTTATACGTACATTTTATTTAAATTAAAGGGTACATAAAGTCTTCTAAACAATAAAATTATAATTTTCAACTTTTTAGTTTTGTGTAGATCTACCTCATTTCTTCTTTTGATTTTTGTATTACCAATTTTTTTATATGTTTCTTAACGTGTTTCAGATTTATTTTTTTAAATTTAAATTCCGATTTTTTAAATTTAACTCAGAAGTTTTCAACTTAGATATTTTAGTATGCATTGTTTGTTTTTTCTTAATTTTATTACTTTTTATTTTTTCTTATTTTTCATAATTTTATTATTTTCGAATTATCTTAATCATTTTTACATTTTACTAAACATTTAATTTTTTTTCTATTTAAAAATATGATTTGATTAATTTTGGAGATTGTATAAAGAGGTGTAAAATGAGTAGCGTAGTGCCTGCACACGTTTCTTTGAGTATAGTTTCCAGGAGGCTTGTCTACGTACATGATCTATTTTTGAAAAGAAAAGTTAGCTAGGCTATTTTTGAAAAGAATTTTGAAAAATGAAATAAGTGATATTATTTTCACTTTTTAGCTTATTTGTGAAAAATTCCCATTTTAATTAGCTAAACGGATTTACATTATTTAAAGTTATCCATAAAAGGCACATCAAGTTATCTTCTACTTCTTAAACTCAGTATCAATATACTCCCTCCGTCCCCCAATTAAGTTACCACTTTCCTTTTCGGTCAGTCCCTAAATTAAGTTCACACTTCCTTACTTTCCTTATTTGGAAAATTATCTACATCAAAACAGTGTCAAACAGTGTTAAACAGTGTCAAACAATGCAAAACAGTGCACTTCACAGTAAACTCAAATTTATTTTTCTTAATACGTGTGAAGTCAAAAAGGGAACTTAATTGGGGGACGGAGGGAGTATAATTTTGTGTTGTTCTGATCAGTTGCCGTTGACAGGTTTGATAAAATCTTTTGTTTTCTCGTAGATTCATGGAAAACTTCATTCCCTTAAACTTGTTTTTATTGAGAAGTATTTGTGGCTGATGACGGCACATTGAATGGAAAGAGCAATATAAAATGAATGGGGGTAAGAAATGTACCATGGAAATATAGTAAGGATGTTTTCACTTAGGATGGATGTTTGTAATTGGTTTGAAATTTTCTAGTATGATCTATTTGATCCGATATAATCTAGTCTGATAAATGTTTGATCTCTGTCTATTTTATAACTATCCAAATCAGGTTTGATTTTGTCTAGTCTAATCTAATTGGTCTGAACTCATGTGGATCGAAAACAGTCCAATAAAAACGTCCTTACACATTCAATCTTAGACAAGACGACCAGACTTGATTACTTGAATAGACAACATCAGACAGATTTCGATAATACTACCTCTGTTCCTTAAAACTTTGCCAAAGTTGACCGGCACGGAGAATAATAAAGTAAAAATTGTGTGGTTGAAGTTTGTGCAGAGGAGAGAGAAATAACAGAAACCACAAAATAATTGATTAAAAGAGAAAGTGACAATGTTTTTGGAGACGTTCCAAAAAGGAAAGATGACAAAGTTTTAAGGGACAGAGGGAGTAGTAAAATATGCATAACACTAAACGGGACTAGTTTAAATCAGTCTTAGACAGATCAGTTCAAATTTAAATAAATTAAAACAATTTTTTTTAATCCAAATGAAAAAATCCTCGGTGGTTGACAAATTAAACACACTCATTTCATAGTCCAAGATTAGGAACATTACATCGGTCTTTGAACTTTTTATCAAAAGTTAACCCCGAAATATGTATAAATTGATCTGGTTTTTCCCCCTAAAAAGATGGGGCTTGAGGAAAGTGGCAAATAGGCCTGAACTTAGGTAAGAGCCTCTTATCATCTAGGTCCTGATAGAACTGAAGCAACCAAAGGAGTGGACTGAGTGGTATCTACATAGCCAATATGTGGAGGCACAGGGTGGTGTTGTGGATTTAGCAAGCCATTATGGTCCACATTAATGTCAACATCAACAAGGCCCTCCAGAACATTGACTACCATTGACATTGAAGGCCTTTTAACATAATCACTTTGTAGACACCAAGAAGCTACTCTCAACATCTGCACAACTTCACTCTCATTAAATTGCATGTCATCAATTATGTCCAACGCGTTTCCTTCCTCGGCTTTACTCTTGAAAAGGCTAAGTAGATGCATTTGCTCCTCCGCCTTGGATCGCTCGAAATTTTTTCTCCCACACAGGATCTCCAACACAACAATGCCGAAGCTATATACATCCACCTTTTCTGTTATGATTGAGGATAGCCATTCGGGAGCCAGATAGCCAGGAGTGCCTCTCATGGTGGTAACAACTTCAGCTTGATCCCTAGAGATAAGTTTAGCCAGCCCAAAGTCCGACAGTTTTGCATTGAAGTTTTCATCAAGAAGAATGTTTTGGGGCTTGATATCCAGGTGGAGTATTTTTTGCCTACAATCTTCATGCAGGTAGGACAATCCTTTGGCTATGTCAACCACTATTTTCCTCCTGCAATTCCAATCAACACTAGGTTCTTGGCTTCCCTTGTAGATCCACTTCTCTAATGATCCATTCACCATGTACTCATAAACCAAAAGCCTGTGAGAATTTTCAGCACAGAAGCCCACCAACCTCACCAGATTGACATGATGAATGTTACCCATTGTTTCAACCTCGGCAAGAAACGATTTCTTCACTTGCCCTATTCCATCAAGCCATTTCACTGCGACCTTTGTCCCGTCTTTAAGTGACCCTTGAAACACTGAGCCAAATCCTCCCTCCCCAAGCTTCAAACTGAAGTTCTGTGTAGCTGTTTTCAGATCATCAAAAGAAAATCTTGTTGGCATCCCCGATACAAATTCTAAATAATCCCCATCCATTTCACCACCTTTCTTCTTCCGACTTATGAACACCGTCAAAGTAATTAAAATCAGCAGTAGAGCAAAAGCTCCAAGAGTTAGCCCTAAGATCAGAGGAATTTTAGATTTGGCACCAGGAGAAGTTTTGGCATCAAGAGGAGAAGGTGAGAGTTGTACTTTAAGAAATATAGAAGAGTTATAATGCATCTTATCCTTTTCGATCTTCATCATCGAAAACACCTCATTGGGCAAATAGCATTCTCCTGTGGTGGGATCGGAACCATACTGAAAAACAGCAGCCTTGCACGAACAGTTAGCAAGACAAGCATTTTTACAGCGGTTCATGTCTGAAACATTGATGTGAGCTTCAAATGTGAAGTAGGTCATATCGTGAAGCTCGACGAAACTATGGTACCTAGAAGAAGAATTACATATGAGAGGATTAACGCGGGAACATCCATAATTCAGTTGCATGTCATCAACCGGTGTAAAGTAGATTGTCGAATCGTTTCTTGATCTAGGACAAGCACACTGCCCGCTTGAGCACATGCCATACTCCCCACAAACCAAGGGATATTTACAATCCCCTAGATAACCTGTGAGTAAATCGGCCACCTGTTGCCACCCGTTTCTCCATTCGTAAACCCTCAAGTGTCCATCCGGCTCAAGCTTCATGTATTGAGCTGATAAAGCTTGAGGAAAGCGTATTGAACTATCGGGTACTCTTGGCTCGGAAGAATGAATGTACAAATCTAAGCTACCATTTTGAAACTTAACATAGCTTGCTTCTTTACTATCCTTTTTCCCATAAACACTAAAATCAGAATATACTTGTGGAGGATTGGATTCAATAGAAGCAAACATGCCATCATTATTGACCACAAGAGAAAAACTAAACCCACCTCGATTACTAGTAGCGGTCAACTTCTGCCCTGAAATGAGTTTCTGCTGAGGAACCAAAGCGTCGGTCGGATGATCAAAGGACTGCCAGATAATGGCCCCGCCTGCGTCGTGGAGAAGAAGGTTTCCTGTTTCTGTCAAGTTCAAGCCGGTGACCGACTTTCCGGCAGTGTTTGTGGACCAAACGGAAGTGCCATCAGAGGCCCTCAAAACCAAATCCCCGTCCGGTGTGAGCTGCAGGGAGGAATTGACATCAACCGGGTTGGCCCGATTAGCGGACCACACAACTGGCGGGAACCCGCTGCTGGGTAGGGTAATCCCTGAAGCACTATTGGTTTGAACAATGAAGATGGCGAAGAGAGATCCATCGCAGGATCCATTGCAGAAGAACCCACAGGCAAATTTGGGACCATAACTTCCTCTGACCAGAATGGCTCTCACCTTTGACCCGTCTGAGAAGTTAACTGAATGGGGAGCTGAGAAACTGTTCACCCAAGTTGTAGAAAGGTTTGCAGTCGGATAATCAAAGCTCTCGCCATTTGATGATATCAATAAGCACTGGAAAACAATAAGGAAGACGATAAGAACAAGATTCCGCTGCTCAATCATTTCCTCTTGCGAACAAGGCTGAGGAATTTTTGAAGCAGTTCAAGTCAATTATTAGTTCCACAAATAAATGGGAAGCTCGCAAATAAAAGTACTTTACTCCGTATATGCTAGCGTGACCGTTGACTATTATTTCGTTCCACACTTAAACGTTGACTCTGATTACTTCATGCGCAATTTGTGTTTTTAACTTTTAAACCGCAGTAATAGGTAGTCTCCTTATCAAGATTCTAGAAGTCAAACTACTTAAGAGGAGATGTATGGGTTCTTTACTTTATTTTCTATTCAATCTTGCATGGATTAAAATTTCTATATATGTTAAGATTAAGTGATATTTGTGAGACTGTTTACTTTATATGATGAATAAATAGGCTGGATTAATGTGTTTTAATGGGAAGAATTACTACAAGTTGTGCTTACAATTAAATCACAAGACATACTTAATAATAAGTCCATTAAATTGAAAGTGAAGAGCCTTAATGATAGATTCAAACTAATATGAATGTTTTCTTTTGGACTAGAATTTGTAGGTCTAGCATGGTTTGATCTTATCTGGTCTCGTCTGGTCTGAACTGATCTAATTTAGTCTGTTTAAGTCTGATCTGATCTGACTGAACTGATCTGGTCTGGTCTGGTAAATTTATGGTCTGTGTATTTTATAAGTGTACAAGTCTAGTCTAGTCTGATGTGTTTAAGTCTGATCTGATCTGGCCTGATATGTTTAAGTTTGATTTGATCTGAACTGATTTGATTTGATCTGATCTGGGATCTTTTAAAGAAATCATCACGTCTGGTGTGTATTTTTTTGGTTGAGAAGGTCAATTGGGAAGAGAATGTAAATACATGCTAAAACGAGTACAATCCATCTAATACCAGAAATCTTTTAATAAATTGTGACCTTGTGGGAGACCATCATAAGGGCCACGTTCTGGCATGAAGGAAATTTTCTCTATATGCATTTATTTATACCAAGTATTTTATGGAGTAAGAAAACATTTCCAATTTTTTATTTCAGGTGTAAATAAAAAAGTTCTTATAGACTATTAGTAGAAAAGGCTAAAGGGTCAAATAGGTCCATGTACTCATATCAATAGCTCAATTGGGTACCCGAACTAAAAAAAGGTCCAATCCAATCCTCCAACTCTTCAAAATCGTTCAATTTGACCCTTTAGCCGGTAAACTCCAGGTACTCAATTGAGTTATTGATATGAGTACATGGACCTATTTGACCCTTTAGCCTTTGAAAAACGAAAAAATTGAATGATTTTGAAGAGTTGGAGGATTGGATTGGACCTTTTTTTAGTTCGGGTACCCAATTGAGCTATTGATATGAGTACAAGGACCTATTTGACTCTTTAGCCAAAAAATGGTCCGGTTATAACTAGTTGACTTTAGTTCCAAAAGTATGACACTTTTTTCTTTTTCCTAAATTGTGACTTTAGTTCTCGTTCATTTCGGTCCGCAGCAGAGCACTTCTTCTCCTATCTCCAAAAATCTTCTTCTCCGTCTTCCAAAAAGCTTCTTCTCCAATCTCCACGCCGATTACCCCCGGACCTTGAGTCATCTCCTCAAGCCACGCCTCTCCAGCATTCTATCACCCCTCATCTATCATTGACCTCACAACCGGGAACTACACCTCTTTCGGCCTCCATCGCAGGCCGCATATGTGCTCTGTGGTCATCTTTTCTCTCCCCTGCGCAGATTTCTGTTTTTTCCCTTTCTGTGTGATCGAGGTGGACACCGGCGTCTTCATCCATGGATGGTTGTCGCAGGAGCTGAAAGTCGTGCGTCACAAATGCCATCTCCCCCCTAAAACTCAACCGCGATGAAGATCTAAGCCCAGATCTGTTGGATTTCCGCTTTCAGCCACATCCGTCATCGCCGTCAGCCACATCCGTCGTCGTATTCGACGGAACGGTTGTTGCAGGTCATCGGGGCTGGGGCTCGAAGGTCGCCAACGCGCTAGAGAGGGCTCCGATGACTTGGGCATAGTTATAACATGATCTGGTATGGGTGGTCGGAGTTGAAGCTTGTGACGTGGTTTGGGGCAATTCAGGGGGCAGGGCTAGATGGGGTTGGGGCTGGGGTTTTTTCTGGTGGGGAGGGATTTGGGCCAGGGAAGGTAGGGAGGGGGCTAGGGGATATGGAGGGGGTTTGGGGGCTGGGGAGGGGGTTGACCAACGACAGTGGTAAGCCAGGTGAGCTACATGGCGGTGGCCGGAGAGTGGCGGCGGTGGCCAGAGTTGGGGGGCATGCATTGCGGTCGTAGGCGGGGAGTCACTATGGCCGGGGAACGAGCAGTCATTATGGTCGGCCGGTGGATGGTGGAAGTCACTGGTTGGGGGCGGCGGAAGTCACTGGATTAATAACTGCTGAAAGTTGCGGTGGTGACGACGACGGCCGATGGACGGGTAGTCACTGGGGTCAGTGAGCCGAAGTCACTGTGATCGGAGTGGTGGCGGCGGCGGTGCCGGTGACGGAGGCGGCGGTGTTGGTGACGGCGACAGTGCTGGGGTCAGCGGTCACAGAGGTGGTGGTGGCTGCAAAGAAATATTATTAAAATAATAAATGTATGATTGAATATAAGGAATAAATGACTTTTAGTCACTTTTTTGGATAAATTTAAAACAAGTCACATTTTTGTCTTTTTCATTCATTTTAGTAATATTGGAATAAAAAAGCCCTATTAGTAGGTCAATGGCAAATTGTAATACACTAATGCCTAAAGGTTGCAATAGGTAATTAGCAAGTCAAATGATACTTCCTTCAATAGGTCACTAACACTTTTGATACTTTCTTTTGAATCTTTTCACTTTTAGTCTTTCGATTATTGTGCGAAAAACACTTTTGATGCTTGTCTTTGAAATTTTTCATATTTAATCTTTCGACTTTCATAAAAGTGACATTTATTCTGCAACTATCATCATAGTGACATTTTTAGTCCTTCCCTAGTAGTGTCAAAATCATAGTGGAAGGACTAAAAGTGTCAATTTGTCTATACTTGGTGACTGAATGCGGAGATTTTTGAAGTCATAGAGTAAAAGTGTTTCTTGCACAACAATCAAAAGACTAAAACTAGAAGTCTGATATCAAAAGTGTTACAAAATTACAATGGTATAAAATAGAAAAATGTTACTTGTACACGCCGGCTTACACGCCCGTATATACGTTAAGTGTATTTTGTTTGTACACACAATTAATTTTCATTATAGTAACTCCGAATTGTTCGTGCACATACATTCACTTTGTCAGGGTCAGCTCTCTTTACTAAAATGAAAATTAATTGTCAGTGCACAGACACAATAGTCTTTGACGTGTAAACGAGCATGTAAGTCGGTGTGTACAAGTAATATTTTTGTATAAAATATCAGTGTTATCAAGATGAAATTGGTAACAAATATGACATGATCATATTATTAGTAGCAATATAGTAACCAGGGCGGTTATGAGAGAGTGGCCAGAGCCCAATGACGGTGGCCAAAATCCGGTCAAAGTAGTGGACAACCAACGAGAGGCTGAAGCCGCTAGAAGTGGCGGGTTGTTGTTGTTGGTAGTGATTTAATGCAATTTATTTATTTTTTAAAGGTTATTTATTGTTAATTAGTATAGTAAAATTAAATATTATTTGTTCTTCATATACAAATTCTTATATGCAACTTTTGCAGTTTGCTCAGTTTGACACCTATCAAACTATTTTATATTTCCAAGTTCCCCACTCTGACTTGACAAATGTTCTCATTTGTTTTGATCTAGAAGTAGGTGTACGATATTATATACAAATTGCATCTCTTTCAAGCGATATTTCTTTCTTGTACCAAATATTATGATAGTTAGTAGAGCGATGGAGTTGTTAAGAACAAGCTTCCATTGATCGGCCATTTTTGCTTTTTTTTTGTACTCATTCGGGTTCATTCTATTTTAACTTTCATGCTTGAAAATGTCACTTTGCAAATAAATGGGAGAACAAGCTTATACGGTGATACCACTGGTATTACATTGTGGAGATCATCGAAAGGGGCATATTATAATCCCGAAAGGTAGCATTGGATAGGGTGTATACTCTTTTCCGCGATTTGTAGACTTTTCATCAATCCAAAAGGTTGAATTGTCGATCCCAAACGCCCCCATACCTGACTTGACAAAATGACGCACGAGTAAATCAATGTATGATTTCAAATAGTTTTTGAGTGAGGTTGTTCAGAGCCTCTGAAACGCCCAATGAGCAATCACATTGCATAGAAACTCTCACACGCACGTGCCGGAAATCAAACCTAAAACCTCAACCCAATTGTCTCACTCAGCCACTTTTGAACTACCCGTGCATGAAGAATAGTACTTTTCATTTTTTACGTATGATATCATATTGTAAAATTGAAGTAGGTGAAGTGACAAAATTTATTCTAGAAGTTTGATGAGTTGGGGGATAAATGGATAAATGGTTTGTTCGTGTGCAACTGATTCCAATCACTGGAATTTTGGCTCAGATGGCTTGAAACTCATTATGTTCTCATTCTTACACCACCCTATACAAGGGAGCAACACTCCTCTACCTAGCCTTATCTCACTACACTCTTCACAAAGAGATGGTCCGGGAATTTTCAGAATTCTCACAAAGATGATTTCTTCCGCATACTCACACTCAATTATATCACAAGCGATATTTGGCTTATTAGTAGGATGAAAAGAAACCCACACTATAAATTACAATTTACACTCAAATCACAAAATACACTGCACCAACACACATTTAACAAATCACTCAAATAATGGAACATGATTTAAGTGAAATTGGTGATGTATAGTAACAAGGGTGAAATCAGGGAGTGATAAGGTGTAGTGGGCTAGTAGGTAGGGTGTTAAACATTATTAATAAAAATAGTCCAACCGATAACATGCTAACAATACAAGTAATAGTTGAGAGTACATGGTATTCTCAACTCACAAAGACTAGGGTAAGTTCACCAAGCATGTCAAGTTCACAAAGGACCAAACTTTATCCAGTTCAGAAGGGAAAAAATCACCAAACTAGATTAACAAGCACAAATTATGTTAATAACCCACGAAGGCAATCAATGAGGAGAAGTTGGTAATTCCAATTAATGCAAAATCCACTCAAGCAAGCACAAAGAAAATAGAAGAAATCATACTCTCTCCATAATTTATACATTTGGAGCTCACAAAATCAATGTGTCACACCTTCAGAACACAAAAAATATTATATCAAATATCACAAAGAATTTTAATTTAACAAAATTAAACACATTTAAAGTAAAGTCAGAAATAATGCAGTCAAACATATTTCACTTACTAAGCTATTTCTCTCATGCTTCTTAGTATCACTGTCTAATAATTTGAGAACCATGCACGCAACTCATGCACATTACATACAACATTCATATCATGCACCACCTTACTAGATTTTTTTTTTTTCAACTTGAAAATTATTTTCGCCCACAAATTAGAGCTCAATTTCCGAAGGGAAATCGAATTGAATTGTAATAGGCGAGTGATCCACCTCATTTGGAGCAAAATCAGTATTTGTTAGAAAGACCATGTGAAACAAGCAAGCAAGAAAATTTATTTTTAACAAAAATGACATTTCTACTTATCAGCACATTAAAGCTAATTTCACTCTTATAACAAAGTCTATAATCTTACATGCATTCATGGCATACTAAGAAAACATATTCCTTAGTTTTGGGTGCAAATTCATCAGTCTCATAATTCACATATACAATAGAGTTTTGCCACTTTTAGTCCTCTGACTATTGTATTAGTGACATCTTTGGTATTTGAGTTTTAATTTTTCTGTTTTTAGTCTTTCAACTATTGTTAGTGTGACACTTTTAGTCCTCAACTTCAAATTTTCCCACATTAAGCCCCTTGAATATTCTCAAATTATCTCTTTTAGTTCTTCCACTATGACTTTGGAACAATAAGTGGAGGCCTAAAAATGTCACTAGGATAATAGTTGAATGACTAAAACTATTACTTTTATGACAGTCGAAGGATTAAATATGTAAAATTTCAAAAGCAAGTACAAAAAAATATATTTAACACCATAGTCGAATGACTAAAAGTGAAAATTTCAAAGTCGAGTACTAAAAATGTCAATGACATAATAATCAGAGAACTAAAAGTTTCAAAAAATCTATACAACACAACCAAACACTCTCAAACTTATAAAATCGAGTGATTTAGTTTTCCCGTTAACACAGATCGATTCAAGTTCCTTCATAATTCAATAATCAGGGACATATTAATCAAATAAATAGTTACAAACAACTTCAATCCCCCGAGAACCTTTTAGAGAGCCGAGATGAAACTAACATAGCACTCACCCTCTCTAATAACCATCCTCTCCGCCACCATCCCGTTGGGGTGTGGAGGGAACAAAGGTATGCAATGAAATACCCCAAGTAACACAAAAATCATAAAGTTTATAATCACATAATTCAAGGGTGATGTTTGTCCGCCCTAAGTAATTTTATTTCTTTTTGGATGTCTTAAAGAGTTTTTCCAAAGTAATGAATTTCTTATATATTTACAAGTTTCAACTTCTCGATTACAAATAGTATATTGTAGATTATACATATTGCAGATTATAATTAATATTTAATTTTATTTATCCAAAATTTATTTGTTTGTTATATTTAAACTCTTATACATACAATTAAGTTACATGTAATGATTTGTTTTGGAAAAATAACCTTCAAAACAAACAAAAGTATATGAACTGGGGAATGAAACTGAAAAGGATCCTATAATAAAGAAATTATCTTGAACAATGACAAAAGTTATGGAATTAAAAATATATGTTTGTGAATAATGATTTACCGAAATTTATAAAACTTATCATTTCATTGAGTTATAATAAAGTTGGTAAAGGGAAGGAAGTGGTCAATCACTCTTTAGCATCAGTAAATAAAAACCAATAGTTTTAATTACATCCTTTCTGAAACTCACAAAAATTATGAGTGATCCTTAAGGTACCATTCGAAATGCACGCACAACCAGCCATATATCAAAACAATAACAACAATCCTGAGAACACTATAAATAGGGAAGGAATCCCACATCAAGAAAACTGTATGGAACACCACAAGAATCATTAGTAATAGAAAAAAATCAAGAAATTAACCAAAACAAAAAATGGCAAAGAATGTTGGACTCGTCATCTCAACTATATGCTTTTTAGCCTTTGCAGGCGTCATTCATTGCATCCCCCAGAAATTCAATGTGGAGGGCAAGGTCTATTGTGATACTTGTCGCGTCCAATTTGAAACTAGAATTAGTCAAGACCTTCCAGGTACGATAATTATATACCGGAGTAATAGTTTCTTTATTATAGTTTAGTCTTTCAACTTTATCTTTTAATAATACGAATATCCGTAGGTAGGGCGAAATATTAGGGTGGGCTGGTACACGGAATAGTTTTGAAAACTTTTTACATAATTTTTTTTACTCTAATATTTTAAACATAATTGGAATTCGGGGTGGGTTGATGCCTAAGTTGCAGCTACGCCTCTGTTAAAACCAATATTGAAAATCAGTATAATTATTGCTTGTTTTAAACTTTGTATTATTAGCGTGAGTTAGGATTTAAGTTGTGGTTGTGGTCGCGGTTGTGATTGCGGGCGGGTACTACAACAGATGCAGTGTGAATTAGCTTTACATTTGAATGAAATATGAAAAAAGTTAAATAGTGTCATAATCCTGAAGCAGACAAATGCGGCCTGATACGCTTTGATGCGGCCAAAATACGGTTTTGTTGCGGTTTGGATCGTGAATTCAAAAAACATCGCAATTGCAGTGTGACACAATTGTACTGAAGACCGAAACCGCGATATTGCAGTCGTACCACGTGTCACGCCCCACAATTTAGAATAATGGCGTGAGTGACAATTTTTTTTATCATAGAACCTATATGAATAGCTTTTAGATTTTTGTTTTTTGGAAAAAATTAGAACATTTTGGAAAAACGGGCCACAAGACTATAGCTATTTTATTATTGACAATAGAGAATTATTTTAGAAAATAAAAGGTAGATACAATTTGATAGATAATAAATTAAATAGTTCATTTATATTGACCAAACAATAGATTAATCAATAGACTAATACTCAACTATTATTAGAAATAATTACATATTTATGACTAGAATAAAAATTGTTTATAAAATTTTGACTAGTGACTATAGTAGTTATGAAATTATAGTAACTTATGTTCAGTTTTTAAACTTAAGGTACCATGTCACTATATTGTACTCCTTCCGTCCCGTTAAGATTGTCCATTTTACTTTTTCGGGAATTCCCACTAAGATTGTTCCATACCAAATTTGGTAAAGATTGTGTGGCTCTAAATGATTTTTGCTTTATTCTTACTTTATCAATTTAATATCAACCACACAAACTCACTTTTCTTAATAATCGTGTCACCTTCTTTTGTCCCAATCTTAGTTGGACGGAGGTAGTAGTAACTATTAGTCATATTTATGTAAATATGTTTTACTTTAGTAATATATTTGTAAAAAAATCCCTATTATTAATGCCACTAGTTAATCAATTCAACTCGTGCGTACGTTGAGGTGATATTTTGACTCTTCTATAGATTTATTGAGATTTATAAATCCATAGCATCTAGAATTTCAAATAATACAGATAAAAATTGATGATTTTTTTTAATAATTGTGCTTCCCATTTGGTTGAACCATGAACAAATTATACATCAGCTTTTTTTGAGAATTTATATTAAAAAAAAGTTAGACGTTGTAATTGCCGAAATAGGAGATATCTGAAAGAGTATTAAAATCTACTAATTTTTTTGTTTGGCAAAACTTTTTACTAATACTTTAAGATGTCTTTTTAATGAATAACCCCTACGATCGAACATCTTATTTACCAAACAACATTTAACAACCCACCAAATTAATATGCAAGTCAAGTCTCTCAATCAATTAAATCCAATATCAAATATCTGTTAACATAATTTGCTAAGTTCTAAACAACGGTGGTTAAATTGGTCCAAAAAGTTAGTCAATCTTAAGTATTTTATATGGAGATTATTCATACATGTAAAACAACATTGATATTATTGTATTTGTACCTAATTATTTCTTATAATATTTGAATTAATATATATACACATAACATTATAAGAGTTCATTTAATTAACTTTAAGAGTTCATTTAGTGTTTCAATAATGTCATTTCATCGGAAGGGAAATAAATTATTTTATTTCCAATCGCAGTATCATTATATATATATATATATATATATATATATATATATATATATATATATATATATATATATATATATATATATATTAAAATTGATTTCACAAAATATATATATATTACTCCAAAAGTCCAACCCACTATCATATTAATTTCAACAAAGAATTCACCCAATCATGGAATTATGAACTCAAAGCTAATGTTAAAGACAATTAAAATATTTAGGATGTCTTAAATTGGATTGAAATTTTCTGGTCTACTCTAGTCTAATCTAGTCTATTCTGGTCTGAATTGGTCGATCTATTCTGATAGATGTCTGATCTATGTATATTTTATAACTACCAGAGTCTGGTCTGACCTAATCCGGTCTGTTTAAGTCTGGGATGGTCTGGTCTATTTGAGTTTGTTCTGACTTGTTCTGCTGTAATCCAATCTAGTTTGAGACTGAAATAAGTCTATGAAAAAACATTCTTAGACTATGTTTAAAGAAAGGGAAATTACCTAAAATAGGAGCAAATGACATTTGGAATTCCAAAAATAAGACTAGTATGTTTTTCTTCCCGAAATAGGAGTTATTACTGCCATGTATGAAAAATACTGCCATGATTGAAAAATATTGTCATTAATTATAATAAATACTGTCATCTTAAATGCAGTGTACTGCAATTATTTGGCAGTCACGGCTACAAGATGACAGTAAATATTGTCATGTTAGTCTCATTTCGGGAATAAAAACAAAGTAGTCCTATTTTGGAATTTCAAACTTTATGTACTCCTATTTTGGGAAATCTCCCTTAAAGAAACTACTTCTTATCTAAATATTACAAACTTAAGCTCCACACAAAAAATTACAAATGTACCGTTAATATTATTTTCAATATACTCTGTATAATTACATCAATTCGACAAATAAATCATAAATCAAATTAAGTTGCCTGTGTCGAGATTTGTTGCTTTAGTACTATAGCATTTGGTTGGTGTTTTAATGGATATTTAACTATATTCATTTGCATATCAAATGCTGTAAAAAATCCATTTTAATAACTTTTCACCAAAATTTTAATTAAAATAGACCAAAAAGGTCTCATTGTGGTTAGATTTTAAAGTTAGATGACTAAAGTTCTTGATTATTTTCTCAATCACTTACATGCTTATAACATTAGATTTTTTTCCTTAACGATAAACATGGGTAAATCCCTACCGTTCTTGATTATTTTCTCAATTATTTACAATGAGTTTGAATATCTCTTGTATGAATGAATCTGTAGGGGCAATCGTGCAATTGAATTGCAGAAATATAGACAACCGAACCCTAACATACTCTGTACAAGGGATGACTGAAGCTGGTGGAAGGTACTCCTTGACGGTTGAGGGAGACCATGAGAAAGACATTTGTGATGTTACAGTGGTGAAGAGCCCAAGGGAGGATTGCAAAGAGACAGTGGCGGGACTGGAAAAGGCTAGGGTCATTTGCACTAGCAACGTTGGAATTCAGGGCTCAACTCGCCATGCTAATCCACTCTTCTTCATGAAAGACAAGGTTGATGCAGAGTGTCCGAAGGTCATGCAAGAAATTGCTTACATCCCCGAGGAAGGAAGTGACTTTCATGTGTAAGTGTACCATACTTGTTACATTGTATGAACAACAACTTTGCCTCTTTTTAATGTTGCCAAGATGATTGGCATATCTTGTGCAAGTGTACCATACTTCATTTGATTGAATAAATTATGATTTCATGAAGACCTTTTGTTACACCTTTTATATCTTGGTGTTTGAGATTTCTATGCTTTATTTATTAGTGGTTTGTGGCTTGGAAATGATAATATTTATATTAGGAACTTTTCTTAAAATATTCCAACCAGAATTGTATATTTCAGATGTAAATTCCTAAACAAGGATAAATTTATTAGTAACAACATCTAATCTACAATTGCATAAAGTTACAGGACTAATAATGAGTTGCGTAACTATATCTGCAATTTTATGTTTCTTGTAATGTTGTGACAATAAAACAAAAAGTAATATTTTCCAACAAAATACACTTCGAATTGTTGAAATATATATTTTTCTCGCACCGAATTGATATAAAATAATGAAAACACTATAAAATCTTGGGTTCTTAAAATACAACCCGAGTCTCAATATAGCTCTGAAGTAAGAGTAGGTAGATTACTTGTTTGCTTCAATGCTTCATAGTATTCCTTCTTACATCAAATGTATTAAATTTAAAATAAATACCCTAGAATACTGCTTGAATTCCTTTTGGTAAGGAGGACAAGTGAAATAAGCCATTATACCCTAGAATATTGTTTCATTCATTATTGAAATCTATTAATCTCCTTGGTGTTATGTAAAATGACTTGGGTTTGAATTGTACGACTCTTTAAGCCTTCAGATTCAACCTATTTATTAATTATTCCAGGAAATTAGTTGAGCTCGATATACTCGAATAGGCTCGTTGTGTCATTGTTATAGGGGCATAAGTCATACACTCATATACAATCCTAGTTAGTAAAATAAACAAGGTTCAATACGCATACATTTTATTCGTTAGCATGAACTAAAAAAATATGTATAATGTAGATATGTTTATTCGCTAACAGTGAACTAAAAAAACCGGGTTCAATAGTTAAACACTTATTTAAGAAGTTAACTCCAATCAATTTAATAATGTTTTTATGATGAGTATGTATTGTCATACTAGAAGATAGGTTCATGTTATGGCTTAATACAGTCATATTAATGGCTGATAATTTATTAAATGACAATATGATTTCAAAATGACACTACTTTAGTCTTATGTAAAGAAGAAAAACATTGTACTCTTAATCAGAGCAATCACCTTACTTTTGCTCTAGGAAATTTTTCAATAATTTAGCTCATTAATTAAAGTGAGGTAGTCATAATTTGATCATTACTATTCAATCAACTTAATCAACACAATACATGTTTAAGACTCGACCTTGTAAGCTATTTTATGTGTACCTGTTTTGTTTATGATGAGTGTAATAAAGAATAAAGTTTGTTTTTTAAATGAAAATATGGATCATCTTATATTCTTTGTTATTGCTGGGAAATTGCGTACTGTCCTGCTTGATGAAGTTTAAATAATAGTCACTTAGGAATTGAAGGTAGTGATCACAAGGACGTGTTTGCAAAATTAGCTCACTTTACGGTGGCTCACTCAAATTTGAAGATAAAGTCTTCTCAAACTATCTCTCTTCTCTATCAATAAGACTCTTACACTCTAGTTTTCTCACTCTAAGAAGTGGATTCACACTTGTCTTAGATGGTTAGTAATGAAGGCCACTACCTCTATTTATGAATGATGGAAAATTGTTCTCTAAAATTCTCTATGAATGATGGAAAATTGTTCTCTAAAATTCTCTAAACATGTCTTCACATTCTATAGAACTTCAGGGAGTCTCTAAACCACTTTATCCCCTTCCATAGTCTTCTATATTTTTCGTAAGATTTTGGAAGGTTGCACACATCTCTAAAATATTTGAGAGGGTTCTACACTATTTCACTAGATTGTAAAGAATTATACATTGATCTAGAGTTCTCTTAGATGTTCTAAATAATTTTATACTTTTCTAGAAAGATTTAGTATTCTCTAGAACCTCTCCAATTGAGAAGGGATAGATCCTAACAGTTATTTGTGAAGAAGTAAGATCAAAACACAAATAAGAATGGATATTGAAATTTTGAATTAAGTAATTAGAAATAAAATCTATTGATTGGAACAAATACAATATGGAGCACTAGCCATTCTTAAAATTCATATGTAAGATGGTTGGTTGTAATTTAATATGCGTTTAATTTGTTAGTATCTTACCAATTTCAAGCATATGCTAAAGAATGTTGGCTTATATCGAGAATAGAATAAAAATTTCTAAAATGTTACTCCGTATGAAATACAAAGGAACACATATTACCTTTCTTATGTAGTGGAACTCACATATTTCCAAGCACATAAAGCAAGAGTAGATGAGGATAAATGGGTCGGGGATGATATACAAAACATAGTACTTGAGGGACATAATTTATGAGTTGTTGTGAATTATTTCCATAGAAGCGTACTCTTACATACCCACATTGGCCCTCCTATTGTTAAAATTTTGTAACTACCACCACATTTTGTAACACCGTCTCCAATTATATTTACTTTTTAGTAAATCATATAATAAACATTGAGGAATGACTTATGAATTTACGAGGTTGTAAATTTTTGTTAATTCTTTTGCGTGAATAGTGAATTGCACGTGGGGCCCACACCGGAAACGGGGGCCACCCGATATTTCCAAGACCACATATTATAATCATATTGGTCTAGATAATATGTATATGGTGGTGGATATCCTAGTTGGGCCATAACAAAGGCATAGGTTTGACTGATTGGTCAAACGAGGCCCGATTATCGGTATCGGTAATTTATCAGATAATGACCCGAAATTAGTTTTCGGAGACTTCTAAATTAAATTTGAGGAATCTATAATTATTTTAAAGGTCCATAGTGATTGAGATCACACAATGTATTTTATTTGACCGGATAAAATAAAATACAACCAACACAGTCCGGGAAATACAACTTTCGAGGTCTAATGTACATTTCGGGACAAGTTGAGATGACTTCCCACATGAGTGGGAGCCACCCACGTTTTTGTGTGCTCAATGAGGCATATGGGGGCTGGAATGACCATGGAAAGAGTGGAGGAGGATCATTTGGTATCTAAAGTACGGAGGACCCCTCACCCTCGCTCATTTGTCATTTGAGACAAAAGTGGTCAACTCTCTCTCTCTCCCTCCATGGGATCGACCAAGACATCAAGGAAGAGAAAGGAAGCTCTCAACTCACCCTCATCTGCAAAAATTCGAGCTCAAGCAAGGTTGGTCCAAAGAGGAAGATTAAAGAAGAAAAAAATTAGGAAAAGTGTGAAGGATTAAGGTAATAACCTGATAATAAATTTTCCTCTACTTTTATTATATCATATGACTTATATATCATATGGAGAACACCTATGATTGTTCTACATGTTTAGAAGTGTAGAATGAGGGGTTGAAAGGTAGTTCTAAGTCCAAGAACGGACTTAGAAGACAAATGACCGGTTCACCGGAAAATAACCTTTTAGAGGTTATTTGTATTGATATGGGTTTTGTGATGATAAAACCATGTTAGGAGCTTGACTAAAGTGTTCCTAGAGTTCGCCGGAGTTCATCGAAGTTTCGCCGAAGTTTTGCTGGAGTTTTGCCGGAGTTCAACTAAGAAGGGTAAGACTTCTTAAAGCTCATTTGAGGTGAGTGGATGGCTTAATGTCTTGTAACTTTTGGGTTAAGCATGATATTACCTAAATAAATGTTAAATGTGTTCATAGTGATGTTTAAATGAGATTAAACATGTGATTAGCCAAAGTGATTAGGCTTGTATGAAATGAACTATTGAAATATGCATGCTTTGTGATATAAAAATGTTTATAAAAACATATGTGATATGTTTAGAGATAAAAGGTACATAAAATGGTTGTTTATAACTTAATACATGTTGTGATTAAGTTTGACACACATTGGATTTGAAATGGCGGGTCAACTAAGAGTTGACCGGTTGTCCAGGAGGCAACTGACGCCGGTCATGCGTAGAACCGGCGCCGGTTTGAGCAGGTTCAGCCCGGTTCATATTATTTGATTATGAACCGGCGCCGATCAGGTCTGAATCGGCACCGGTTTGGTGTTATTTTGCCTATATGTTGATTTTTAATGCATGAATTGCATTGATGATTTTGCTTAGGCTTTAAGACTTGGTTTAGGTTTGATTATTGATTATGATATAGACCTTATCTAGTATGATATGTGGTAGGTCAGAGGTCGGGTGGAGTACCCAGGGATCGGGCGTGTATCCTCAAAACTCGGTATATAGGGTGGAGTATCCAGGGATCGGACGTGTATCCTCAAATCTCGGTTACATAGGGTGGAGTATCCAGGGATCGGACGTGTATCCTCAAATCTCGGTTACATAGGGTGGAGTACCCAGGGATCAGGCATGTATCCTCAAAACTCGGTTATAACGGGTGGAGTATGACGAGCACTTTATCTTGATGTGCGTCAAAATAATAAATACATTACAACACTTATATGTAGATAGTGTAGTCAGGTTCGTATCCACATGGAAAGGAATATTTATCTTTTCTGTTACTAGAAACAATGGGGGGTTTAGATTGATTGATGAACTTTAAAGTATTTAAACACTAAGATGAATGACTTATGAGATTTAATTAATTAGAGATGGAGACTTGGCTTTGCTTTTATTCACTTAATGAAGTGTTCGTCGATCCCGTTTTTTTTTTAATCCTGGAACAGACCACCTTTGGTGGGGGAAGTGCCGGGGAACAATTTTTTTAATCCCGGAACAGACCACCTTTGGTCGATCCCGGTTATATCTTTAACTATCTTCCTCTCAAATACTCAATCGAGGAGTATATCCAATTCATCGAGGGTAGTTATTAATAACGCGACGTGTTCATTAATAAAATTTACTACCGAGTCAATATAGAACATGCGCCGTATATTAACCCGATAGTAGCAATAAACTTAAGATGAAAACGATTGAGATTGATAATCTCAACACAAGCGGTTTATTGGTTTAATCAATATAATTAATTCCTCTTAGATTATTAACCATGAGACGCATGCATTAATAATCCAAGTTTACTACCGTTGAAAGAACTGAATTAATAACAAGCGTATTAATCGGTTG